AGAGAGAGAGAGAGAGAGAGAGAGAGAGAGAGAGAGAGAGAGAGAGAGATTGAGTTTTGGTCCCATCGCCAGGTTGACACGTGCAAGAGAGAGAGAGAGAGAGAGAGAGAACTGGCATATCTTCCTCCAAATGTTGAAAAGATGCCTTCGTTCATTTTTTTTTGGGGGCGGGGTTATTTGCCAAATACCCCTATAAGTTGAGATACAAGTCAAAATGTCCCTGTAAATTGGGCCCTGGCCTTTAGCAATTGCACCCGCGAAAAGTTGGCAACTGCCTGGGCATTTTGCAAAGTTGGACAGTGTCCTGTAGGGGTACATTGCAAAGATGGGGTCCAGTCGATGTCTGGGCTGTTTCGCAAAACGTTTTTGTCGCCGTCCTTCGCCACAGTGTAGATGCGGAAGGTCCACATTTATATATATATTTTAATAGTTGGGACAAGGCTCCAATATATTCGGGGGAAGCTGCACCTGCTGGGAACCTGGCGATTAGCAAAAGTCCTCGTGTGAGTATGGTCGGAGACTCAGAGTCTACCGCACTTTTTTTTTTTTTTTTTTTTTCGTTTTATAGTAAATCTATACGCCAAATTCTTGATGTATTTGTATGTTAACAGATGTCCCAGTGGACCCCGGCGTTGTGTTCATTTGCACCCTGCTCTTTTGACCCATTTTATTCGTGGGTAGCTGCACGTGTGCTGAAAACACCACGGCCAGCCTCCTTTATGAATGTATACACATTTCCACTGAATGAAATTGCAAAAAGAAGAGGAAAAAAAGGTCACTGATGAGATCTTTTTGTTCTCTTCCTCTCCCGTGTTTAATGTTATTTTCTCCAAATGGGCTCTGCACTGCTTGGATGCTCTGTTTTTTTGGGTTTTTTTTTTTTTTTTTTTGGCACTGTTTGCAGCCTCTGTCACCGATACCCAGGACACTTTTTCCAAACAGAGTAAAGGAGGCGGCGAAGAATTATCTACCCAGTAAGCATGACTCCAAGGGAGCCTTGTAACACAGAGGTAGCCGACCGGACCCCAGAGCTAACTGGAGCTAATTGGAACTATTTGGAACCACCAACCAGACCTAATTGGAACTATTTGGAACTATTTGGAACCGGCAACCAGGGCTAATTGGAGCCAATTGGAGCTCATTGGACCTAATTGGAACTAATTGGAACTAATTGGAGCTAATTGGAGCAAATTGGAGCTAATTGGAACCGGCAACCATGAGTCGAAAGGAGGGTTGTAGCACAGAGCTTATTGGAGCCGGCAATCGGATTTAACCTGAGCTAATCAGAAATGACTGGAGCTTACCAGCAGTACATCAACCAGAGTTCATCTTTGTTAAATCAACCAGAGCTCATCAGACTTGTGCTCTGCTATCTCCTATCAAAGCCATGAACTTACCACTCAGTCGCCTCCCTTTTTTTTTTCCCCTGTTCTTTTCTGGAACTGAAGCGATCCTTAAAATGATGATTCCCACGGGCCACAGGATTCAAACTCGTGATCTGTTTGTTGCCGCTTACGTGTGTGCGTCAATTCAGCCGCTGCACATGGAAAAGCTCGGCCATGCAAGTCCTAATGCGAGCACACTCCTTCATAAAAAAAATAATCAGACGATAAGATTGCCAATGTTAAGCAAACAAACACTTCTTTTAGATTTTGTTTCTTGAACTTTTTTTTTTT